CCCACCCCGAGTACTTACCAGCTCAGTCAGCTGCAGCTCCCTGCTGCAGTCACCAGGAACTGTCTGAATCATCAGAGCTCTCAGAGAACTTTGAATCAATTCAGACCTTTAAATTGGTCCCTTGATCTCATTCAGATTCGGAGATTCGGCCACTAAATTGGGCCGTATCTCCTGTGAATCGAATCATCGCCCGAAGCTTCGCACAGCCGTATCTTCTGCACACTCTTACCACATAATTCAGTAAACTCATTCTGACTCTCCCGTGAGAGATAATGAGCCCGTCCTTGCGTCGTTTTGCCCTCTGTTTGCTTGTGTTTGACTTTGGCCCAATGGTCACGAGTGATGCTGTCAGGCTGCGTGGGTCACCTATCAGATTATTATCCCCTTGGGATGCTAAACCTCTTGAAGCAAGATACAAGGTAACGTCCAACAATCTTCCCAGTATTTCTTTCCATCTTGTTGCTTCTCTTAATATTCGTTTTTGAACAGCACTGTCCACTCCACGTTCACCTGACTGTGACTGCTGTAATTCCTTCCACTGGCAGTAGCAAGTTTTATGTTCGATGCTCTTTTCATGTTCGGGAAGTTCATTACATAGCTTTTGGCATTTTGTCACATTTGGTGAATACCCTTCACTTTTTGCCAGCATTCTGCATGGTTTTTGTCTCCTGTCAGAAAATAACCGACATGGAAAACAATACAGCGCCTGATTGGGTAGGACTCCAAACAAGCCAGTCTCTTGGCAGCTGTTCTCCATTGGAAGTCTTACACTTGAGAAGAAATTCAGCATACTTATGCCCACCAACATCTTTTGGAATTGACTTTGCTAGCTTCCACATTTCTTCAAAAGTCGGGACACCAGATAGAACAATTTTCTGGCAGACAGAATTTGTTATCAGTTTAGGCCACAAGCCTGGGCCTTTGAAAAAGCCTCAATCAGATTGTGTAGTACTACTCTCTCCTGTGTTTGGTAAGCCTTCTTCTGAATGTAGTGGTGCTAAAGGTGATATTACCTGACTATCTTTTGAAAGCATTAGATTGGAGTCACATGATGCATTCGGCAGCTTTTCTTCATCATCAGTTGCCACAGACACAGTCTTTGTATTAAAATCATTTCCATCTTGCTTTTGTTCATCTACTTTCCTAGTTAGTGTGTTGCCTGAGCCAGACTGCAGAAAGGCCTTGTCTGTTTTGAAAAACTGGAGGATTGATTGGTGTCTTTTAGCTTCTTTTAGTTCCCTTAGTTTTACCTCCTTAGGTTTCTGGCTTCCCGATTTGTATTTATAGCCAGGCATGGGGGAGCGGGGGGCAGGTGAGAGAGAGAAATGTCCTTTCCTTCCAGGCACTAACCCTATGCCCATTTCAGTTCTTCTCTGTGCAATGTTTAGACCACCAGGCCTAACTCATTGCTCCCTTTTGGGCCTGTAAATCCTACCAGCAACACTGTGGCTGCCACTGTCCCTGGGATCGATGTCCCTGGTTATATGGTGCTTTGTCCCTCTCCTCTCCATCTCTGTGCACAAGGGACTCTGGGACTTGTAGTTCTTGAGAGAGCAAGTCACATAGGGAAGCATAAACCCCTCCGTCTCTCAAAGGAGGAGCCCTAGCATGAGCTGCACAAGCACGCTCTCTCTGCTCTACTGGCCAGAAACTCACTTGTTCTGCTTCTCTGATGGGCTCCAGCAAATCTCACAGTGGAGACCCCATATAGCCCCCCCATAACCTTCCATACAGATCCTCCAGCATGACCTACAATTTACCCCCGCTTTTTTTTTTTTGCTTATGATAATAGGGTTGCAGCCTGGGCCGGCCAGCCCTGTATCTCTGAGCCCTGGTCAAGTGTACCCTCCCTCCACCCCCCAATGCTTGGGCCCTGTGCTGCTCCATGAAGGGATGTCTAGGAGCAATAACATAACAACAAGTTAAAGGAATTTTACATATAACATATCTGAAGATCAAAATCTGTTAGATAGTAAAATAATCTCTTGATGGAAACCCCACTGCTTAAGATAGTTAAAAGGGAACATGATGGAATACTAGAAGCTATATAGCAAAAACAAACACTCCTGCACTGGCCAGAAGACAGAGATGATGATCTATTAGGCCTTCTCCACTGTTAATTTTTCATAATTTTATAATTCCTCGAGACTTTGGATTTCACAAAGATAAGCACTTTTGAAAAATCTCAGCCTGGCAACCACAAAGAGTGTGTTCTTATTGATGAAGAAAAAGGAAGATAAAACAAAAAAAATGGAAAGATGAAGAATATAAACTGATTTGTATTTATTTGTTTATTTGTGTTTATTTGTATTTATTTGTATTTGGGTGTTCCTTCTCTTGAAATACTGACACACGATAGAAATTAAGAGTAGCAAGAGAAGAGAAAGGAAGAGAAGTGAAGAATGGGGAAAGGTTGCCACCTGCTGGTAGGTTAAATATCTGCCGCCATGAGGCTCTGAAGCCTGGTATTTTCAATCATGCATGGACACCTAAAGTTTGGTATCTGTCTGTTGGCACCTAAATAATTTCAGCAATATACTTCAGCATCTGCACCAGTTTAAGAATGTGAGTAGTACCATTGATTTCCATGGGCTTCCTAATATGCTGAAAGTTAGGCAGCATGTAACCAAATTAGTTTTTTAGAGTTTTTAGACACCGTTCATACTCCAAGTAGGTACTTTAGTTGCTGGCGTATAGATACCTGCATTTGGAAATGTTAACCTATAAAAATAATTGCTTTTCTTGTTTGAAAAGGCTTTTTATATAATATCACCTGTTGTCATACCTTCTTTATTAAGACAACGGCATTTGTAATGAACACAACCTTGTAATTAAAAGAACGTAAAGACAGTCAATGTGGTGCCTACACGTTAAGTCGTACTACCATTTAACCTGGTTATATGCATATATAGTTATATGAAAATAATATCTTATGCAGTAACTAGAATTAATATGACCTAAGGGTTCTCAATCCTCCTGCTTTAGGACAAAAGGATCATGGAGGAGGTTATAGTGGAGGTAGGGTGGGATTTTTAGCAGTGGCTGTTAGTCTCTGGATGATATTTTGGAAATGGACTATGATTTTAAAGCACCCATTGTTATTTTTATTCTAGGCTGTCCAGCACCTAGAGGTGAGACTTGTCAAAACTAGGAGCTAGGACATTATAGATCATTGCTTTCTTTGGTTATGCCAGGATCCTGGGCCTCATACACAAATATGGTTCCTCTGAACGATATTAGGACACTCCATTTTGCACTTGACAAACCAAAGGACACCCCCTCTCTCCAGTTAGCTAGGTGTTCAGGGTGTGTTGTGTGCCTTATGGGTGCTTCTATCATACTTTAGGGACTGGCCATAGGTCATAGTGAGAACTCGGTGGAGCCATCTCGTGGCTGTTTGTCATACTGCACCAGCTATTTATTTTGAAGGAAAATTTGAAGAGCTGGTTCAATCTCTTTCAGAGTCCCAAATACTCAGTCCCCAGGGCAGATGCAACAGCACAAGCTTTCCCCTTCCACTTCATGTGCCTCAGTTCTCTTCACCTCTGGGTTTATGTTGTCCTGAGCAGAGTTCAGCCTTCATACTCCATTCAATCCCTTGTCTTCCTGCTGAGACACAAAACTGGAGCCATATATTGCCCATGCTGTTTGTAGTGTCTGGGATAAGATCACCTGGACCACCCGGCTTTAGTCTTGGAGGCAGTGATTCACTGTGTACATGGCTACCACACAGCCATCTGATGAGAAGGACTGGAGTCCCTTCTGCATCCTATTCAAACTTTTTTATTGAGTGAATGCAGGTCACCCTGTGCTTAATCCTGGTTTGGAACGCCAATCTCTTCCCATCTAATCCCCGAGAACAGATGTGCCCTGATTGCATTGTGGATTATAAAATGCCCATTTCCAAGAAAGCAGCTGCTGACTGAAAGGATAGCATTTAATAATCACTGGGTTTTGGCAGAGGTTACAGGGAGGAGATGAAAAAGAAAGGGGTTTAGTAGCAATTTGATTCTGGAAGATCTAGCTAGTGTATGTTGGAGAGACCAAGGCAGAGAGGGTGTTCTGCATCTCTGCCACCCACAAGAGGAACGACTCTACATCAGGGACCCATTAGCAAGGTAAATTCTACTCTTCTTCATTTAAAAAGGTTAACTTCAAAAGGTCTCTGATTAGTTATTGTCAGCAAGAGCTTGGCTTCAGCAGGAGGAAACTTTTCTGATAGTGCTCTTCTGATGATGACATGGATCAATTTTCCTTCTTCCTTTCCCTCCAAAAGTCCTCATTCTCTTCTCTTTCTACTTTCTGATCTAACTCCTTTGTCATCTCCATTTTCTTTATCCCCTTGTTTTTCCAATCCTGAGGCATTTACAAAATGATAAAAATTCTAAGATGATATCACTAGGGGTTTTTTTTCCTCTTGTAAAATATTTAAATTATTCCCATTGATATTTTTGGTGGAGGGAAACAAAAACCTTTTAATTAAACAAACAAAGAAAAAAACGAAAAAACCCCAGAATAAAACTTTGAGCAAAATCTGGTGAAAACTGAAAAGAAAGAAGAAAAGCGTTTGTATTTTGGGGCCTCAAAGAAACGGGATATTTTTGAGCCACACAGACACTTTACACAACAATTTATATTTTGTCAAAAACCCAGTTTTCCACCAAAAATTTTCCACCAGTCCTAGCCAGAAGCCCTTACTAGTGTGCAGCTGTCTAATGTCAGCTTCATGGAACTGGTGAAGTTAAGCTTGCTTTCAGATTGTGAGGCAGCTTGGTAGTGATGGCAACAGCTTTTCCAGCGTCATTGACCAGAATAATAGGAGATGGCTGTTCTGAAAATGAGGGAAGAAGGAACCTGAGGACAGGGAGGAGACAAGAGCCAGGTACAGGGCAGCTCAAGAATTGAAGGGTTTCTTGTGTTTGAGTGCATTTTTGATAGACACATTTCTGCCACCAGCAGGGTTTTCTCAGGATGATGGAGGGCTCTTGAAATTCTGCTCACGGAAGGGAGGTTACTCCATCTCAGGCACTATCCTTTTCTGATGAGAATTACAGGCTTTTCTGGTAAGCAGAGTGAATATCATGGCTCTAACCTTACCACTTTGGGCTGTGTCCTTTTAACTTATCACAAGTGGAGCAGCATCTAGTCTAATGTTATTTATGATAATGCCCATACTGTGCCAGGTACATGCCAAACACTGGGGAAAAAAGAAGAGTAGTCCCTGCTTTGAGGAGCTCAGAAAGATAGACGAGGCAGTAGAGGTCAGGGGGCAGGAGAACCTCAATGGGTCATTCATGGTAAGCAGTTCAACTGAAATAGGTTTCAAGGAGGTCATACATCTGGAGAGGTAGGAGCCACGTGTTTAAGCACAGGGAAGTTGTGCTGTACCAAGAAGATGCTTCATAGGAGAAAGCACAGACCTGATTGCATAAGAAGGGGGCATACAATCAGATAATATCTAAGTATTTTGTCATGCATAGTTGGGAGACCTCAAGAGAGCATTCCAGGGTTCTGCAAGAAGTGGCAGGGGTGATCTCCCCTTGGAGTGAGAAATGGACCATGGCCCTGCCATGCAAAGGTGCTGTTGAAATAGCTCCTTTTCAGATGAGCTGAAACATGGAGCACTCTGATCACCCCCTATGAGCTCTAAAGGTCATATGTTGTTCAACTGAGCAGGGTCATTGTCACGGCAGTGTGTCCCAATGATATTTTGATTTGGACTATGTTAGCATCCTATGAGAGAGATGCAGTGTATTTACCAGTACTACTATACAGGCCTGTTTTAAATGCCTGAACTGCTTCCTTTGAGAAGCTTTTCCATAGTCTAAGGTGTCATGCTGTCAGGAAATGGTCCTTAATTACTGACTGGGACAATGAGATGCCTCTTTCCACTGCCATATACCCATAATTTGATGGGAAGAGGCACAATGCCTGTGTCTGGAATGTGAATCCTTCATGTCTGTCTTGCAGATGGAACTCCTGAAGGTCCTGCCATGGCGCCGTGCTTTCCTAGCAGTAGCCCTGAACTTGCTGGCTCTCAGCCTCTCCACCACGGCCTTGCTTAGCAGCTACTGGTGTGTCGGGACCCAGAAAGTGCCCAAACCTTTGTGTGGAAAGGGCAAAGCTACCAAGTGCATTGGTGTCCATGTGTCTGCTGATGGAGGATCTAACAACTCTTCATCCCAGGATGTGGTGCACTATAGTTGGGAGACTGGGGATGACCGCTTTGCCTTCCAGTACTTCCACACTGGCATGTGGCTTTCCTGTGAGGAGAACATGGAAGGGCCAGGTAGTGTCTCCTTGTTCTTATTTACTCCATGAGTTAAGTAACAATGAAGAATGCAAGACTGGCACCACGAGGGAACAAATTTTTCTCCATATCCTGGACCAGGTAGGGTAGCCTTACCAATATGCCCTATCCCTCATTTTGAGGTTGGAAAGGGGGCAGTTGTTCCCAATACCCCATTCAATATGTGCCTGCTAACAAAAGGGCTGCTGAGTGCTACTTGCAGTGAGGTCATCATCTGCCCTCGTAGGAACTGGAGAACCCCCACACTTCATTTCACATTCTCTTGGGAACAGATGCTGGGTCTCCTGACACAGGGGACAGCTTCATGCAGTGTTGCCAGCTCTTGCAGTTTTCACTATAAGTACCAAATATTTGAGGCTTTTTTTAAAGCTCTGAGACCCTGAAGTTATGTGACTAAAAGAGATTCTCAAACTCTCATTTAAAAGAAATGTTGTAGAGAAAAGCTTAAGCAAATGAAAACTAGAAAGCAAATTAGCAGATGGATTATCTTCATTTTCTAAACAATCACATGATTTCTTGAAGGAGCAGACTTGTGATTTTTGAAGACTTGAGGTAGCAATGTTCTTTATGCCAACTTTGTACTATCTGCATTGTGCCCATACTGGGAGCCACTGTTTCCCCCCCTTGCACCCTTCCTCTACCCCTAGTGGCTAATGCACAGTCATAGAGCCATAGAGAAGTAGGGTTGGAAGGGACTTCCAGGGGTCATGTAATCTAACCTGCTGCCTGAGGCAGGATCATCCCTATTCAAACCATCCCATACAACCATAATCTAAACTCTACATAAGACTACCCTCAACCCTGACACAACATAGGCCTAATAGCCTAACCTGTCACAGGTAAAGCAGGGGAACTGTAGCAGCCAATGTCCTGCTTCTATAAAATGTTGTCAATATACACTCAAGAGGTCCCAGGGCAGAGGGCCATGCCCCCTGCTACAGAGGAAGGCAAAAACCCCCATGGTCTGTAACAGTCTGACCATAGTGTAAAATCCCTTCCTGATCCTAAATATGGCAGTTGTTCTAATCTTGAGCGGAGGGGAAAGACCCTCTGGCCAGGAACCTCCAGTTTTGCTCCTAGTGGAAGAATTAGCACACCACAGTTGAAGTCCCCATCCTTAGCTGTAGCCAATACCCAGTGCCTCTGGGGATGCTTAAAAACACATATAGCGGGGGCAGGGAAGCGGGGCGGGGGTGGAACAGAGCAAGCAGCAAGGCCTAGAAACATGGGAGATACTCATGGTAGAAAACAGGCATAGGTATACCTAAATCATCCCCAACCAATGGCTATCCAACCTCTTCTTGAACACCTCCAGTGATGGATGGTCCACAGCTTCCTTAGGGAAGCCTATTTTACTGACTCACTATTCTCACAGTGGGGAAGTTTTTCTGGATATCCAATCTAAACTGACTTTGCTGTAACTTCAAGCCATTGGTCCACTGCAGCAAGAGAGAGAAAAGGTGCCTTCCCTCTTATTTATGGCAGTCCTTCTAGTATATGAAGACTGAAATCATGTTCCCTCTTAAGTGCCTTTTCTGCAAGCTGAACATACCTAGTTCCTTCAGCCTCTTCTCATATGACCTGCCTTTTAAGCCCTTGATCATCTTTATTTCTTGCCTCTGGAACCTCTCTTAACTTCTCCACCTTCTTTTTAAAATGAGGACCCCAGAACTGCACACAGTACTCCAAATGAGGCCTAACCAGTCCCAGGTAGAGAGGCATTATCACCACCTGTGTCTTGAACCGAATGTTTCTATTGATGCAGCCTAAAACCTCATCTGCCTTTTGTGCGGCTGCATCACACTGCAGACTCATATTGAGTCTGTGGTCTACCAAGACTTCCAAGTCCTTTTCCATAGAGCTGCCATGCAGCTAGGTGTCACCCATTTTGTATTTGTGTTTTTGATTATTCCTCCCAATGTGTAGCACCTTGCATTTGTCCACAATGAGCTTCATCCTGTTATCTCTAGCCCAACTTTCCTACCTGTCGAGATCCTTCTGAATTATGTTCACATCCTCCAGCATGTTAATAGTCCTTCCCAATTTCACTGTCATTTATATAGCAAACTTATTTAGATTACCTATGAACTGTTCTGCATCCCTGAACCCTTTCTTCCTCTCACCCCAATTTTCCCCAATCCTAATGCCGGGTATTTTGCTGAACTTGTTCTGGAGGAACTGTCCCCAGTCCATAGCCAAGATTTATATCTGCAGGGACCAGAACAGGATTCAGAAGCAGCCCTGAAGTCAGTAAACAGCTAAATTGTAACTACTGTATTCACTCAAATCCAAAACAAGGTCTTTCTCCCCCAGTCAACATGAGAGTAAAACATGCCTCATCTTAGATTCAACTACTGGCGCAGGCAAGGCAGCAGCTCAGCTCTGGTTTTGGCTCTGGGCCCAAGGCCATAACCAGAGCTGAGCCAACATCGGCCCCAGGCCAAAGTGACTTGGGCTCACATGTGGGGAGACTGTGCAGTGGAGGGACAAAGCGGAGGAGCATGGGGGAGACCACACAACCTGCCTCCCACTGCTGCCTGCCTCCTTCCCACCATTTACTTTCTGCTCCAGCTCTGTCCCCTCCAGTCCTGACATGGGTGGGCCCAGAGTTGCCACTGTTGCTTCTGCCTGGCTGGGGCTGGGGCTGGGGCCAAGGCCAGGGCCACTAACTGCCCTAGAGCTGGAGGTGAAGCTGGTGCAGAGCCACCACAAAAGGTAAGTGGCAGGGGTGTGCATGTGGTGGGGGGCAGGTGGCAGTGGGGCAGGCACAGACAGATACAGGCACAGGGGGGTCAAAGGACAGGGGGGGCAAGCAGCAAGGCTGCAGGCACAGGCATGGCAGGGCCAGGGGTGGTGGAACAAGCTGGGAAGGCCAGGCCCAGGACAACAAGAGACAAAGGTCTAGCTCCTCACCCCTGCCACTGCTTTCCCTACTGCAGCAATGTGGGAAATGACTTTAAGACACCCCTCCAATAATTAGGTTCTATATATGGAAAATAATAGTGAACTTATGCATTTCCATGTATAGAATCTAATTACTGGGGGGAGCATCTTAAATTTGGAGTCATTTGGATTCAGGTAAATCCAGTAATGATATAGAAAAAAAGATTCTTTAGCCCATTCCTCTGCATGAAGTCAACTTCCCCATCTATGCCCCAGTGCATGCATAACATAACTTCTTATGTAAAGGAGGCATTATATGCACTTTAATTCTGTATGTTTCTTACTTTATCTATTGGGGTAGAAGTCTGAAAATAGAAAGATCTTGCCTAAAACCAGA